CAAAAATATTGGAAATTGCGCGGATAATGTGAGCCGACATATGCCAATTCGCGATTCCGGTCGAACATGGTCTCGAGAATCAGACCACAGGTCAAAGGTCATTGGGGTCAGGGTCATTGAATGCTAGGAATATGTGTAAAATTGATTAACTCGAGGGTACTGAAAGTTTTGTTGCGATCGGCCGCTTTTTGCGCAGATTATTTGCGAAAAACCGGGAGGGGTCCGTTCGACCCCGCTGTAACTGCATGTGAAGTCACTAAAAATCTGTCTTTAAAGTAAGAAAGGTTATTCCTCGAGCTGAGAGGGCAAAGTTGTACAGTTGGAGTACTTTAACACACCATGTAGATACGTACTTACATGCATACATTCTCGAATTAAACATCAATAATACCTACTATAGGCATATTGCTCTTTGGAACGTCGCTTTCGGTATGGGGATATCATAGGTCTGGGCCAGCTGACACGGGTGACATCCCCTCAGTGGGGTTCTGGCATGGTCTGCGTTGGCTCATCCACCACCACAATGGGCGGTTCCTCAAAACCAGCGTAATTGACCGGTGTGAGGCGGCGACGTGAGGCACGCGAGTGCGGGACCGTCCCCACGCCGTGGCGGTCCGGGTCAGGGGAGCAGCCCCCTCCCCGCGCGGCGGGCGGTCGCCCATTCATCCGCGACCCCAGCCCCATGACTGAGGGGTTGACAGAGGGCAAACATCACGTATTTAAACTGGACAAACAGACGGTGTTCTACGCTAGGGACATCTCGCGGCTGTGATTCACGATACTGCTTCGCCAAACTGCCTTTAGATGGTGGGTCAGTCGGTGTCCGTCTGCTGCTGTGCGCCGAGAATTAGCCCTATAAATTACGATGAATTACACCTTCTAGTGTGACGACACTGTCACATTATCATATAGGTCGCGTTTAGATGCAAATGAAGAAACGACTGCGTTGAAAAAATATGTCATTTCATCGAACGCTGAAATGCTCGAAGTGCTCGCTAAAAAATAAACTCGCTAACTGAGCCCTAAAGGTCGGCTGCCGTGTTGCATTGCATTTAAGCCAAAAACGCGGGCTGGGTGTAAGTTGACGAGAAACAATTTTTGGCCTGAAGTGTCCTCTAAAGTATGATCTACATAGATCCAGGGAACATATTTGCTATCTATGATGGTTTAGGAGATATTGAATCTTAAGTCCTCCGGTGTACCCTATTTTGCGGCGGCCCACGTGTTAAAAGCTGCTGAACATTTTTACTTTGACCAAAAAACGCGGGCACAGTTTTGACTGTACGAAAATGACTCTTGTCCTATCGTATTCCACGTGGGCTGAAAATTCAGAAACCAGGGAACATATTTGCTACGACCAGTACTTTTCACGATTCAGACCGAAAAGTGAAAAAATAGCCCCAAAACCCTATGACGGGCACCCCTCCGCGGCGCCCGGCCGCGGGTCGCTAGTTCCCGAAACGACACACCATGTTGCTTACTTTTTGGGATCTCCGCTGTTCCTAGCGACTTTATTTGGAAGCAATAGTTTGGCAGCTGAAAGTGCGGCACTTGTTGCGCGCAAAGCAGCATATACCACCGCGTGCTACAAAACGTTTTAGTCAAACATTTAAAAATCGTTAGATATCTGCGCTATATTTCCGGTTCAAGGCATTTCTCGATGTTGTGAGTGCCGAAACCGGTAATTGTGAGCCAGGGACCCCATTTTGGCTATCTCAACTCAAATCTAATGTTAAGGTGGGAGGGTCCCTTTAAGACGTGTCTGTGCCCCATGCCAGCCTTTCCCAGCGCCCGTATAGGCACGAGCCACCGCCCGCAGTGACACCTCGTCGCTCAGGTGGCGCATGCTAGTTCTAACCTCGCTTCCCAGATGACACTAGCCGTCCGCACCAGGGGTGATACTGCACCGCAAGACACATTTAAGAACGGAGAGGCAGCTGCGGCTGGTGAGACTAAATGCTTACTTCGAAATCTAAGCTGCGTTGCGGCATTGGCGGTTATGTGCGGCGTGTATGCCGCATGCTTAGTAAGCGGCGACCACTAAATTAAAAACTCAATAGCTTTGACCTGTTTTCAATGGATAACACTGCATACCAAAAATGTCCATCGCTCTCGTCATAGGATATTTAGATTTAAATAACTAACTTATCTACATCATCGTTTTGAACCAAATTAATACTTTCAACTTGACCCTCGCCCGTATTGGTGTTTTTCCAGCCGCGAACGTATAAGGTATAACCCCTTGCCGTTTCGCTCCTGATCAAGCTAGAGCTTCGCGGAAAAAAACGAGCGTGTTGCCCGTGACGAGAGGAAGCCGATGATACCCAATTTTAAGGTCCTAGGTCATCGGTTGACCTTCCAGGTCAGGTCAATGACCCAAAAGGCGGCAAAATCAGGACCTGTTAGAACGTCGTAGTGTGGCTGCTATGGGGTTTTTCGGGGTGCTGATCACGAATATCATGCTAGTTTTGATTACAGATGATGTCTTCATTCATTTAGGCCAGGTCGGGTCAGGTCAGGTCAGGTCAACCAGTAGAGGTCCTGCCGGGTATTTGTAGTAGGTGTCAACCGCCTCTGACAGCCTCGTAACATGTTACGAAGGCACCAAAACTACTTTGTAAACGTTCATGTGGTTGCTAAATTCGAATTCAGCTCGAAAAACTGGCCTAGAAACATGTCAAACTCGAAAAAGTGAACCGAGGTCACCAAAGGTCAATGACCTGACCTGACCTTCAGATGACCTTGACACCCACCCTAATGGATGGGGGCAAGATCATATCACATGTTTGAACGCTTGAAACCACGAAAAGACTGCAAACGCGCTGCTAATGCGAGCCGACATACGCTGAATCGCGGTTCCGGCCAAACATGGTCTCGAAAAGTAGGTCACAGGTCAAGGGTTATTTGCGTCAGGGTCATGAAATTTTCAGGGTAGGTGTAAAATTGATCAACGCGAGGGTACTAAAAGTTACGTCGTGATCGGCCGCTTTTTACGCGAGTTATTCGCGAAAAACCGAGGGGAGTCCGTTCGACCCCCCCCCCTAAAGGGCGAGGGTTAACTCACAGTCCGAACTCCGAACAAGTTCGGTCTTGTTTGTGAATTTGTCGGAGCATCACCTAAATCTAGTAGAGATGATGGAGGGAAACTAGGCTTTTAAGGAGGGAAGGGAGTCGGTGACGGTCAGGGGCACTACAAGCAGAGCAGTCATAAGCTGGTGACAGGGCTGACATACCATGTTTTGATAGCATGACTGAAACAGACTTTTTTGGGTAGCCAGGAAATCGCATGCGAGAGCCTATTGAAATTCTTACATCGGCCTTTATATGCACCAGTCGTATACAGGTGCGGGATTTGGCATACGATTTCCAGACAATCGAAAGACTGTTTGGAGCCAACGAAGGAAGGAATGAGTGAGTACTAAGTTGAAAGCATTAATTTGGTTCAAAATGATGATGCAGATAACTTAGTTATTTAAATCTAAATATCTTGTGACGAGAGCGATTGGCATTTTTGGTATGCAGTGTTATTCATTGAAAACAGGTTGGAGCGTTTAAGTCTTTAATTTAGTGGTCGCCGCTTACTAATCATGCGGCATACACGCCGCACATAACCGCCAATGCCGCAACACAGCTTAGATTTCGAAGTAAGCATTTAGTCTCACCCACTCGGAAGGAGAAACTCTGCGGCCCCCAGTCAGAGTTGTTGGTAGCGTCAAGCGCCGGTGACGTCACGCGCGCTTGACTTTTCCCTTCACCATTGTTAACAATGGGGGAAACGGCAGTTTTGGCCCAACTTCGATTTAAGATATTTTGCTTGAAATTGAGAATACAAATATGAAACTTGGGGCATATTGAAGCATAATTAGTCCTTTCTCCAGATCCGTATCGATTTTTGCCATGTCTTGATTGCAAACAGGGAAAAAATCGCAGTATTTAACACTCAGTCCGCCTATCCTTTAAGATGGGCATACGTGGTTCTAATGGGTTTATTCATTCTGGACATTGCGTAACGTGCTTGCGGTTCTGGCACCACTGTTTGGACAATGGAAGATTGCACCAAAGTTCTGACATTGCTTCATTTCGCTTCATGTCACCTAGTCAGGTCACGTGATCCGGCCCGCGTGGGGCCGCTAGGGGATATCATATATGGGGTGCTTTCGGTATCCGGAAAATATTGTCCCTCGGATATTATCCGTCGGAAAATTATTGGTGAGCGCCTATCTTCAGCATGTCTCGTTGTCGCGATACCGAACGTGATCCCCGATAATTCTCGCTGATCCCGGTCCCGGTTAATTCTCCCCGATTTTCCGGGGCCCAGTGTTTCACCGGTGATAGCAGCACGCTGCTATCACACGTGTCAAATTGGGTTTCCATGGAAACATCAACAAACCATGGCGCCGTCAATCTGTGTGATGTCATCAAATACTGCTGCTAACATCTTCACGGCCGTGCGATCAAACAAATGTATCAAACGCAATCCAACGAGACAGCAACTCTGTTCCAAACGCAGCTCACGGATTACACGAAACGTCATTAGTGTGACCTCATCACATTACGTCAGCTCGCGCAATTTGATAGTAGCGTGCTGCTATCACCGGTGAAACAGGGCCCGGATGCCGAAAGCAGGGTTGGACATCCCCTCGGTATCTTTTATGATAGCGGAGAGACGGCGGCGCCCAGCGTTCGTGTTTAGGCATCGAGTTCGCATTAACGTATTGGGCGCCGCCGCAATACGTTACATATAAATATATATATATATATATATATATATGACACAAGTATTTTTAATGCCTTGTACCTGTACAGGTATTGTATATGTACAGGTATTACGCTCGATAACTACACGTTAGCTCGTACGGCATAACAAGCCCTTCGTTTGTTGCATCTAAAACACGAACACACGCAATATTTTTGCATCCAATTGATCTGGTCTTTGTCGTTATTAAGTCACTGAATTAGTCCGATAATTATCGATTATCACAATGCGCATTATAGAAAAGTTATCAGGAACAGAGCTGTATTCAGCGAGGGGAGGGGTTAGTGGGTACACGGAATCACATCTCCATCACATCACATATCATCTTACATCAGACGACATCACATCTCTCCCTTGAGACAATTGTTGCGGACAATAACGGAAATCAACAAATACTGTGCAACATGAAGCTCAATTGTCCCCTCGCCCGCGGTAAGAGATTGCGCCCCACCGAACTTGGAGGCGACGCCGCGCGAGGCGCCTTCGGCGTGAGCGTCGGGGAGCGTCGGGGACAGCCTCTACCGCAGGTGGCGGCGCTGGGCGGCGGCAGCGGTGCCGCCAGCAGGCGCTGGCCGTCGATCATCGCAGATGTGTGCAACATAAAATGGCACGTTGCCAGCTAACAGTCAAGCTAGTTTAAGGAAAATGAATCATGAAAACGATACATCACGACACGGTCGAGAACAATTAAGGCTCCTAAGCGACATCACATCATTTCCGCCCTCACTGTACACGGACGCATTTTCGAGCACAAGTCACAAATTGGACCCAGTTCGCCGTGTGGAGACGGTAGCTAGCAGAAGGTCTGGAAACTCGATTCAGGCACAAACTGAACGACTACCCAGCTGTTACAAAAAAGAAAGGCTCAAGAGATCAATAAATAATATCGTGATGTAATGAATGATGTGTGCCTCTGCCAATCTGTTTACTGTGCGTGGTGACGCAGCTTCCGCACCTTCCGCTTGACAGCGTCTCCGCACGTCGAGTCGAGTTCACTGTTCGCAGGCGGATAAAGGTTCGCACACGAACGAACACTTTCAGGATTTTGGCACACTGCACGCCCCGCGAATATTTCTCGGCCATCATACGGGTGGCGTTGCGGATGACGCCGCGCTCTCGACTGAGCCCATCGGGGTGCATCGCATGGTAGGCACAGAAACAGGTCTCGAGCTCCCTGCACAGTTCCAAGAAAGACTCGGTGGGAACAGTCATGTCTCCAACACTGCGCAGCCGCGTCCACAGTGCCTGGACAGGGACGTCCTCGGCATGGGACAGGGACGTCCTCGGCCTCTGCCAGTTTGCTCTTCAGGCTTGCCAGTTCAGCCTCAAGTGCTGGGCATCTGGTACACCTGTTAGGACAAAAGGATCATCAGAACAAGAAAGGGATTTCAAAATACAGAAGTAACTTTAGCTATCATGGGTGCTATCAGCTATTCATGTGAGCATGGGTGGGTGGGGGGGGGGGGGGGGCATGGGTGCAGGTGTGTGTTTCATTCATGTGGGTGAGTACTGATTGTAACTAATATTCTACAATCCACAGGTACTGTGCTATAAAGCAATTACCAATTTTTATTCCTGACTTTATAGTAACACTGAGCTGGAGGAGGATATTCTTAACCAATCTTCCACCAATATTGGGCAATGACAGGAATTAAATTTATCTTTCAAACTGCACCTATTTTCTAGTAAAGTCATAGACATGTGTACATAAATAACATACTTGAAATGTATCTGAAATAAGTTAAATAAGATACGACGTACTTTTAAGGCTCACACTTCGTCTGTACAGATGCATCTGAATGCAGGCATTCTTCTGCTTGGAGTGATGAGTCTTTGGGAGCTGCTTGTTCTCCTTCTTCTTGCACCTGCCTTGACTCATCTTCCTCTCCACCTCTGTGTAGCAGCACCACTCCTTGGTGTTGTGACTCTGTAAAAATAACCGACTTTAGTAACAAACCCTTACTGCTAAATACGTGACATTAATGATGTCTATTCTAGCTGGTAACTCAGAGCTAACAAGAAGTTCAAAATTAAGTTGTTTGTTCAGCTGAGCTTTCCTTATAACAAAAAAGGCAAAATGGGGTAATTTTGACTATACCCAACTATCCATCTGATCTGGTCTGAGCTGAGCAACTTCATCCCTGTCCCAGCTGGTGGGAAACTCATTTAAAAAAGGTCCCTCAAAAATGGGTTATTCACCAATCCGGACAGCTGAAAAGCGAGCTGTCCGTAAAGTGTATACAGATTTGCTATTCAACCGATAGGTAAACTCATAAATATCTGATGGGCACACTTAAGGCCTGGCTACTCTACCTATGCGTTTTCTGCATGCGTTTTTTGCGGGCTTGCATGTTTTGCGAAATATCGATCTAGAAACAAAAGTAATAAATAATTTAACTTTAACATTAGCTATATACAAAAGTTAATAAAACTCTTATATTAACTTAAATATAATACCAAAACATATCACAAAAACATTGTTTTTACTACAACAGTAGGTACTACGCAAAACCCGCAAACCCGCGAAAACCGCATGCAGTGTAGTCAGGTGAGGCCTTTACCTTGGAGGACGAGTCAGGTTCCTGGATGGGACTGATGTAGGTAGCAGCTTCATGGCAGAATACTGCGGAGGCAACTTAAGCAGTTCTGACCTGAGGCCTCTTTCATAGTCAGCAGTTACAAAATGCAAAGAACACAAACAATACTGGCGGAAGTTCTTCGGGAATGGCTCCCCTCTTTTTATGATCTGCCACCATCGCCTTGCCATCACTTCATCCGCAGGGAACTCGTGATATTTGGTGCCGGGCGCCTGGTTGTTTCTTCTCCCGGACCCATTTCTACACGAAGGTTCCGCACAGTAAACCATCATAGAATTTAAATCATCAGCAATCAGAAATCAAAGCAAAATGTTATCAATCACCAACTGATGCCCCATGAGCACCACGCAACAATCCACGATGCCTATGAATAATAAATATATCCGCGGACCGCGGCGGCCCTTAATTCAACTTTCAAATGTCCCGAAAACCAATATACCTTGCCAAAAACATTCGACGTGGTTTGATCTAGTGCATTATACATTTTCATAAACAAGGTAAAAATGATGTAATTTTGACGTCATAAAACACATCTTACTTGTTAGTCTCACAGTCTTATTATTGTTATGACGCAATCAAACTCATGCCAAACTACGACCTCAGCAGAATATTTGCGTCAAGATATGTTTCATCTGCGCAATGTTTGTCGTGATTGAGTGCTTCCATATCTCAAACTCGGACCGTACCTGTTATTTATAGGCATCTTGAAACTCTGCGTCCTCTCCGAGCCCAGAGATCCCTCTGCGTATTTACAAATTGCAACCGAGCTCCGCCGTGGGGTAAGGCGGGCAGGGGTTTTCGCACTACGGCTGCGGTTGAACTACCGTCTGTGGTAGAAACTTCAGGACGATGGCGCGTTTCATACGAAATCTGGCGCAATGTTTGTTTGCTTCTGAACTTGTACAGTTATTGCTGTGAATTCTTGAAGTGGGAGTGTTTCAATAACAATTTGTGGATTATTTGAGTTTCTTTATACAAGCATAGAATAGTATTATGAAACATTGTGTGGAAACTGCAAATACTGATATGATCAATTACTTAGTTTGGGAATTGATACACATTTTGTAGAGATTTGTCTGGCAAATGGTGTAACTAACCTCAAGCCTATCATGATCTGAAGCTGTTGTAACAAATCAAAATTGCTTTGATGTTACATACCACCTTGTTGGAAAGACTGGAGCATGGTTCAAGATGATGTGTAAAAATTCAAGATTTGTGCGAAAGCTTGTGACTGAAGAACGAAAACAGTTCTATATGATATGATGGCTCAATCAAACATGAAAATGGACGACAAAAGTAGAGTTTCAACATTCCAGCATGTGAAAATAACTTCAGAAATTCATAGTTCTTGTAGTATTGCATTCTTCTTATGTACAGTTATAGGTTTTGTTAGGGTATTTGAAATTCATTGTGTCAGTTGAGATATAGATGGATTTTGATTGCGGACAAATTGTAGAATCATTGCATGGTAGCTAGGTACTTGTTCGGTAAAAAGGTATGTGATGAATGCCATGAGAAGGTTTTTTATGATTTAATATATGGTCGTTGTTGTACCTACAAAAATGCAAGCTTACTAGCAACTAGTTTCTGAATCAAATCGAAAGTATTTGCCATGAATGTAAATATGTACCTGCAAAGTATGTCAATAAATTTGTGTGATGTTGACCAGAGAGCTTTATCATCTAGGCATTTATGTCGCTTCTTACATTAGGTGTTAAGCATAGTAATTACGGATGAACTTTGTGCCAATATCTTCAATGCACAATGTATGTAGCATGTCTACAACCCTCACTGATCCTGCTATAGCTATAGGCATTTGGCACCAGCAAGACCAAGGGCATGAACTTCACAGTTGCTCAATTCCTTTTGTCATGTACCACCAGTCACTTTTTTACTTAAGGTGCACATAGCAGTGCACACAACAATGTGCAGAGGGCCTACACAAAAACAACATGATTAGTGTGCACTATGCACAGCATTGTACCCATTTGAATATTTTGATCATTCAACAGTCAACAGTCAGGAGATAATTATTGAATATCACATTTATTATACATCACTTGTCAAACAAGAGCATGATGACACACATTTTGACAAGCAATCATTACGGAGCGAGCGAAGCGAGCGTAGTCTTTCCTTAGATTAACCCTCGCCCGTATAGAGGGGGGGTCGAACGGACCCCCCCTCCCATGGTTTTTCGCGAATAACTCGCGTAAAAAGCGGCCGATCGCGACGAAATTTTCAGTACCCTCGCGTTAGTCAATTTTACACCTACCCTGAAAATTTCATGACCCTGACCCCAATGACCTTTGACCTGTGACCTACTTTTCGAGACCATGTTTGGCCGGAATTGCGATTCGGCGTATGTCGGCCCGCATTAGCCGCGCGTTTGCAGTCTTTCCGTGGTTTCAAGCGTTCAAACATGTGATATGATGTTGCCCCCATGCATTAGGGTGGGTTTCAAGGTCACCTGAAGGTCAGGTCAGGTCATTGACCTTTGGTGACCTCGGTTCACTTTTTCGAGTTTTACATGTTTCTAGGCCAGTTTTTGGAGCTGAATTCGAATTAAGCAACCATATGAACGTTTACGAAGATGTTTTGGTACCTTCGTAACATGTTACGAAGCTGTCAGAGGCGGTTGACACCTACTAGGAATACCCGGCAGGACCCCTACTGGTTGACCTGACCTGACCTGACCCGACCTGGACTAAATGCATAAAGACATCATCTGTGATCAAAACTAACATGATATTCGTGATCAGCGCCCCGAAAAACCCCATAGCAGCCACACTTTACGACGTTTTAACAGGTCCCGATTTTCCCGACTTTTGGGTCATTGACCTGACCTGCAAGGTCAACCAATGACCTAGGACCTTAAAATTAGGTATCATCGGCTTCCTCTCGTCACGGGCAGCACGCTCGTTTTTTCCGCGAAGCTCTAGCTCCATCAGGGGCGAAACGGCAAGGGGGGGTCCAACGGACCCCCCCTTATACGTTCGCGGCTGGAAAAACACCAATACGGGCGAGGGTTAACGGAAATTTCTGAGTATGAGCGGCCGGCCGGCCGTGCGGACGCTTTTGCGAGGCTTATATCTCAGCAACCACTTGACCGATTTACATGCGGTAATTTTTGTAGGGTAGCTTCATTCCTTCTACCAAGTATTGGACTATTCCCAAAGCATTTGGGTGACCCCTTAGGCACGTGCCACGTGCAAAACGAAGAGGTGTCAGTTTTGTAATTGTTGCAATATCTCGGTAACTACTTGGCCGATTGCGCTGAAAGTTGGCATGTAGGTAGGCACCCACTAGGCACTGCATATCCATGTGCCAGAGTTGGGGTGCTGCTGCACGTGCGCACGTGCAGGGGTCGTTTCCAGATCTCGAGAACGGCTGGACCGATTGCGCTCAAATTTGGTACACAGTTAGGGACCGGTCAGTAGGGTGCCGTGCACAAGTCAGTCGGGGCCCATTTTGCACGTGCGCACGTGCAGGGTGCCGCTTCCAGATCTCGAGAACGGCTGGGCCGATTGTGTCCAAATTTGGCAAATCGCTAGAGACCCGTTAGTAGGGTGCCGTGCACAAGTCAGTTGGAGGCACCCCCTCGAAATTTCGCACGTGCAAGGCCCACCCTCTCGTTCGCTCCGTTAGTCGCCCCAAAAGGCGTTATACTGGTGGTAGTATTCCAATAAGTTGGACAGTCATCTCCCTGGGCGTCATTTTTCCAGGAAGGTACCTATGCAGGTGTTGTGGTAGGCTAGGTTGAATTGGGTTAAGTTAGGCGAGGTAAGGTGGTTAGGACCCGGTCAGACCGTAGGGCCTGGTCAGGTTGATTTTAATCTTTCATACTAATTTGACATATATACCTATTACCTATGTATGTTTTTGCTCCAGCCTGAATTTCATTAGGTAATGAGTTAATTTTGCTTTGTTTTTATCTGTCTTGTTTTATGTTTTTGTCCCTTAGGTATATTTTGCCCCATAGGCAAGGGTGGAGCTTTTCCAGGGAAGGTACGGTGGAGCATGATTGGAGGCGCTCAACCAGACGGCATAGGAGGGCACGGTTTCTGAACGCGCACTGATGCCTGATTCAAGCCACGCTGTCTTCATGCGGGGCGGCGCGCAACTTAAAAGTCCCTTAAAGAACGGGAAGTGATGCCGATAGAACCTTCAATCATTCTGGGCTAACGCTTATGACTTGGAAAAAGTCGCGATCCCAATTCAATCGAAAACCTGTGGGCTCTTGTTCAGCAGGAGGTGTATGAAGAGCCACCCGCCATAAGCACTTCTCAACCGCAGGCACAGGTTTAGACGGCGTTGGTCCGCATCAAAGCAAGTGTGCTGGATAATCCAGTGGCTGAAATGCTCCAGAACATTCGCCACTGTGTTTTTATGAAAGGTGGCTACAAGCTCAGTTAAAAAAGTACCAGATTATTTTGCTTTTACAGCGGGAAGAAAGGTGTCCGGATAATTTCGTTACACCCCCTGTAATGTTCAAATGGTTGCTAAATTCGAAATCAGCTCCAAAAACTAGCCTAGAAACATGTAAAACTCGAAAAAGTGAACCGAGGTCATTCAGAGGTCATTGAGCTGACCTGACCTTCAGGTGACCTTGACACCCACCCTTTAATGCATGGGACCAGCGTCATATCACATGTTTCAACGCTTAAAACTACGTGAAGACTGCAACCGCGCGGCTAATGCGAGCCGACATACGCCGAATCGCGATTCGGGCCAAACATGGTCTCGAGAAATAGGTCACAGGTCAAAGGTCATTTGGGTCAGAGTCATGAAATTTTCAGGGTAGGTGTAAAATTGATAAAATCGGGGGTATTGAAAGTTTCGTCGCGATCGGACGCTTTTTACGCGAGTTACGAAAAACCGATAAAGCGCACCCAAAAAGGCAGAAATATGCACATGCGATATCCTATACTGCGAAAAAAGTGCATCATTTTTGAACGCAGCCGACAAATTGTAATTACCCTAAGCTGAGGCAGACGTATGGTAGAAAATCCCCCAAGTGAAATACACTACGGCGGAAATAAAATACCCTACGGCGGAGCTCGGTTGCAATTTGTAAATACGCGATCCCTCTACGTCTCCCGGCCCACGCCCTGTCCGACGGGTGGTTGGCGATATGGGCTGCAGAGGTCACCACCGTCCGTGGAGCCATTCAGCCCAGCCAGATGTCTGGCTAGTAGTTGGCGATATGGACTGCAGAGGTCGCCACGGCCTCTCGGCTCGCTGCATTGTGTGCGGCGCTGCTCCGCCTGTGGTGGCCCGTGGTGTAGACATAGGCGGACATAAGCTTATGTCTAGGACAGAGATATAAGCTCTCTCAAGCTCTCCCCCCGACTCCCTACTCTGAGTCGTTGGCATGACAACCCATCTGGGCACTCTGATTGGCTAAGGTTTCCCGCCATACCGGGAT